GACTGACTTGGAAAATGAAAACTGAATGGATAAAAGAAAGTGTTGAATTATTTTGGGTGTAGTGAATTCCTCGAGCATTGGGAAATGTCAAGAGTTCAGCAGTGGTATTTGCCACAAGCAGACTGTGCTGTTGCTTTTTATCGATCTATAGATATGACCTCAGTTTGTTTCTAAAAATTGTTTTATTTTGAAAACTTTTCAAACTTGAAAAATAAAATACAACCCTACAAAGGCTGTTTTACTGTTTCAAATAATTCAAATCAGCACTTGATACAAAGATGCAGTTAGCAAGAAAGCATTTTAGCCTTCTTACTTTTTCCTCAGTACATTTACTCCCAACATCTGTACTACCCATGCTGTCCAGTACAGGGTCCATCAGCCACATGTAGCTGGTGAGCACTTAACAGTGCAGCCAGTCTACATTGAAATGTGCTATAATTACAAAAATAGATCCCAGATTTCAAAGTCTTGGTATGAAATAAAGAATGTAGGGGGCTTCCCTGGTGGCACTAGTGGTTGAGAGTCCGCCTGCCGTTGCAGGGAACACGGGTTCGTGCCCCGGTCCGGGAAGATCCCACATGCCGCGGAGCGGCTGGGCCCGTGAGCCATGGCCGCTGAGCCTGCACGTCCGGAGCCTGTGCTCCGCAACGGGAGAGGCCACAGCAGTGAGAGGCCCGCGTACCGCAAAAAAAAAAAAGAATGTAAAATATCTCATTAATAATGTTTTATACTGATTACATGTTAAAATGATAACATTTTGGATATTGTTTCAGGGCTCCGCAACACCACCCACATGATAGGTGATTTGCTAGGACCAACATACATTCGTCCTAACAGCTAAGATTATTACAGTGAAAGGATCAGTAAGGGAAAAAGATTGTCTGAATCTGGACAAGTCCTTTCACAGGCTTCATTATGCTCTCTCCTTGCCAAGTGGGGCACACTGAGTATGTTCATTTCCCCAGCAACCAGAAAATGCAGTAATATGTAAAATGTTTCTGCCCAGAAAAGCCCATTTAGAGATTCAACACCCAAGGTTTTATATTGGGGGCTGTTCACATCGGCACTGTCTGCCTTGCGTATACCGAAATTCTAGATTCACAGAAGGAAAGCAAGTATTTGGCATAGATGACATTGTTAACACAAACTCTAGGCACCGTGAACCACCTTATCAGTCAGGTAATAGAGGAAAGCCAAGTTCCCAGATGCCAGCTAAGGGCCAGCCTTGCACACAGACCCTTCTAAAGGTAGCAGCCTTGGTCCTGCTGCATTAACTTTTTGCACAGGTATATTAGGTTAAGTAAACTATCAGTAGAACTAATTCCACCAGTTTATTTTTAAAGACCTTTAAATATGGCTACTTGTTCACATTCTTGACTCACATTATATTTATTTTAGCAGTGGTCTAAACTTACATGTAAAATTCTTCTCTAACATGTTTTAACTGTTTTCTCTGTAAACACTAATGATTTCTCTTTAATACAAATCTGATAAGTAAACAGGTGACAAGCCTCCTTCAAGTGATATCTTTACACTAGTCACTAAAGGTCAGACTAATTGAAGGCTGCAGTAGACTTAGCTCCATATCCTAAATGTAGCTTTATTACCCAAGAAGAAAAAGAAAACCTCCCCTCCAAAAGAAGTGTGTGATCAAAATAAAGGATTTTGTGAATTTTTATAAAAGTCCCAGTTTAAGAATGTCCATTTGATAAGCACATTTGAGAGCTCCAAACAGTACATTTTTACATGCTTATCATTAATTCAAATTGTTAAACTCTTTTGTTCTCTAAAATGTTAATGATTTGTAATTATTATTAATCCATCCATGAAAATATTTCTGAGGAGGCTTATATAAATGGACTAATTCTGCGTGAGAGATTCACTTCATTTCTACTCATTGTAGATTGCAGATGTGACTAAAATAGTATAACTTGGCTAAAATGAATGATATAGAATAGCAACCAGGATATGTTTGACTTCTTCCCAAGCACTGAATACTAATATATACCTCACTCTTTAAGAAAGGGAATGGTTTTAGGAAAGTAATTTCCAGGACTAGAACTGTGAAAGCAGCCCAAGATATTTTTGTTAGAATAAATCCATAGTGTGATTTTCAGTGACATACTGCCCTACGGGTCCCCTGCAGACCTAATTGAAGGAGAGAACCATCTTTCACCATCATTGCCACATCTCATCAGAAGTAGAGGGAAGCTAAAATCCTAACCCCCTCTTCTCTCCCACACCATGACCCATAGTGAGTAAAGGGGAAAGGAGAAAGTCCTCAGGCTGTAAGTAGAGAGTAGTTCATAACAGCAGTATATTTGCTGTTATCTTTGTCCCTTATTTATAAAGACTTATAATTCAGCCATTTTATATAGTTTTGAATTGAAGCATGTCATTAGCAACCCATGTCAATAACTCATACTTTGATTCTCATTATAATAATAACAGCTGTGCTTGTCCTTTGAAAATCCATAAAGTAATTTTAAATACACTTTACATTTCTACAAAACGAAATCTGACAATATCAGTGCTGCTCTCTAATTGCTTTAAATAATGTGGAGAACAGTTATAAAGAACTCTATCGGGGCTTCCCTGGTGGCGCAGTGGTTGAGAGTCCGCCTGCCAATGCAGGGAACACGGGTTCGTGCCCCGGTCCGGGAAGATCCCACATGGCGCGGAGCGGCTGGGCCCGTGAGCCATGACCGCTGAGCCTGCGCGTCCGGAGCCTGTGCTCCGCAACGGGAGAGGCCACAACAGTGAGAGGCCCGCGTACCGAAAAAAAAAAAAAGAACTCTATTATTTTTTCCACTAAGGGTATTTTCCACTCACTGTTCAATCAGTAAGAAACACTGCAGAAAACCTGTCTTTTTTGCCACTTTTGGAACTATGAAGAGCCATCAAAGTAGTGTCATGTAATGTTCTGTTGATAAACGTTAAGAGCTGATGATAGTTTCACTCAGAAAATCAGAATACCTAGAAGCCACAGTGCTGTTTATAACTTCACTCACCCTGTCTTGAAAATAGCTTCTCTTCCCTGTATCCCCCATTTGTGAACTGGATAAAATAGGTAAAATAAGAATTCAACATGTAATATGATATAGTATATAATAGAATTATGGTATGATATATAAACAAAAAACAGAAAACTCCAGTTTTTAGAAATGAGGAATTCAAAAATGTTATATGTTCTCTAGGACACTTGTTATGTTTTAAAGTACACATATTTGTGTAATATGATTTTATGATATATATGACACAACAGAAGTGGGTACACTAGCTAATTTTGTACTTGAATAAAATACCACCATAGGGGCTTCCCTGGTAGCACAGTGGTTGAGAATCTGCCTGCTAATGCAGGGGACACGGGTTCAAGCCCTGGTCTGGGAGGATTCCACATGCCGCGGAGCAACTGGGCCTGTGAGCCACAACTACTGAGCCTGCGCATCTGGAGCCTATGCTCCGCAACGAGAGGCCACGATAGTGAGAGGCCTGCGCACCACGATGAAGAGTGGCCCCCGCTTGCCACAACTAGAGAAAGCCCTCGCACAGAAATGAAGACCCAACACAGCAAAAATAAATTAATTAATTAATAAACTCCTACCCCCAACATAAAAATAAATAAAGGAAGCTTTAAAAAAAAAAAAATACCACCATACATCTTCATTGGCTTTTCTATCCTTAATCTAACAGCTTATGTATGTAACTAATACTTATTGTCCTTATGATGAGCTTTGAGACCATTAAGGTTTTTTTAAGAATTATATCAAATATGAAATTCAATGGCATATATTCCATATATCTTTACTGTTTAAAACTTTTTTTTTGAAATTCCAAAGAGTGCTTTTTTTCCGTTTTGTCTGTTGTAATCCATTCATCCATCAACAGACATTTGGGTTGCTTTAACCTTTTGGCTCTTGTGCATAATGCTGCTATGAACAGCAAGTATCTGTTCGAGTCTCTGCCTTCAATTCTTAAGAGTATATACCTAGAAGGAGAATTGCTGGAGCTTATGGTAACCTATATGAATTTTTGAGGAACTGCCATACTATTTACCACAGCAGCTGCACCATTTTACATTTCTTCCAGCAATGCACAAGGGTTCAGTGTCTCCACGTCTTTGCTAACATTTTCTTTTAACCTTTTGAAAAAATGTACCAGGCTATGGCGCAGTGGTTGAGAATCCACCTGCCAGTACAGGGGACACGGGTTCGAGCCCTGGTCTGGGAAGATCCCACATGCCATGGAGCAACTAAGCCCATGCACCACAACTACTGAGCCTGCGCTCTATAGCCCGCAAGCCACAACTACTGAGCCCACATGCCGCAACTACTGAAGCCTGAACGCCTAGAGCCTGTGCTCCACAAGAGCAGCCACCACAATGAGAAGCCCGCACACTGCAAAGAAGAGTAGCCCCCGCTCGCCACAACTAGATAAAGCCCATGCACAGAAACAAAGACCCGACACAGCCAAAAAATATATATATATATATATACCGGGCTATATACTAGTTTCATAAGAACCATGGGAAATACAGTTGACCCCTGAGTAACAGAGGTTTGAACTGTGCAGGTCCACTTATACATGGATTTTTTTCAGTAGCAAATACTACAGTACTACATGATCTATGGTTGGTTGAATCCACAGATGAGGAACTGGATATGGAGAGGCCTACTATGGGACATGAGCATCTGCACGTTTTGGTGTCTGCAGCAGGTCCTGGAACCAATCCCCCTCAGATACCAAGGGATGACCGTATATTCATATTGTCATTACACTAAATACAGTCTTTTGGTGCCCAAACTAAGTTCAGGTTTACATGAGTCAGCAACAGAGAATATTGGCCTTTGTCTTATTGTTTGTGTAGTACAGAGTGTGTTCACAAAAAAGCCTTTGAGGTAAGATATTGACTTTATAAGAGTAAATGTAAAATAAATCAGGATGAGTTGTAATCTGTATGCTTTCAGTTCTTAGCAACAAAGTTTCCTTTTTTCCTACAGCTCCCTGCACAGGCAGCACTTTCTTTTGCCATAGCAACATGTGCATCAATAATTCTTTAGTCTGTAATGGGGTTCAAAACTGTGCATACCCCTGGGATGAAAATCATTGTAAAGGTGAGTCTACTGGCAAAGGCCAGCCTTTTTGAGAGAGGAGTGTCCATTGCATTTCATTAAGAAAAAATTAAAATGTCTTTTTCTACAACTGTGCTTGGCATAACTGCTTTGGCTGGAATAAACACATATAAAATAAATGTTCTCCTTAATGGATCATAGACCTCTGGGATATGGTAAAAGTGAAGAAAAATATTTATTCTCAACAAAAGCATTTTTTTTTATAGACTATGTTTTTTACCTTAAAGTTGTTCAAAAGTCAATCATGGTATTTCCTGCCCTTATTTTCTTGGTCATTTCTATTGTAAAGATACCTTATTCTCATAATAATTTAGATTGTAACCTAGAGTATTCTTATTTTTTTAATTAAATGAAAATACTACTTAATAAAAATCAACTGGTGGATTCAGTCTTACAATGTAAAAACAGAATCATTATAAGGACTGCTTTTTTTATTCCATGAATTTCCTACACTATATTTCCAGTATATACTCCCTGGAAGATAAATATGGCTTGTGGTAATACTAGTTGAATGTCTACAAACTGGTTATCAAATCACTGTTTCAGTACTAAAGTTTATCTCCCTTTTATTCTCCCAAGAGTTCAATAAATATCTTACTGTGGAAAGTTAATGTAATCTGATATGGCTATCTTAAGTACTTGAGAGAAAGTATTTTCAGGTAATCATTCAAAAACAGTAGACCATGATAACATACCTGAGTGGGTTAGTCAGATCATTTTCCTTCTCTCTTGCTCATGGCCATCAGTAGAAATACTATGGGTATACTCAAAACTACCATAGAGCAGAAAAGCTAAACTTGATAGAACAAGAGTATTTTGTTTTGGCGTTTTTCGTATTCATGTATTACTTTGATTTGCAAGCTATGTATTCACGTGCCTTCTGAGTAAAGAACCAAGTCCTTTTCCTTTTTCGTAGTCTGTCTAGCTGCGTTATGATTGGTTAGTTTAACCAGAAGTCGTAATGGGATTATTTTGTTTAAAAACCTAATTTTAAATTGCATTTTCTGTGTTGTATTTGAAAAAAAATACAGAAGTGTTCTGCTTTACTTAAAAATACTTTACCAATTTGTGACAGGACTCATGAACGAATTTTAAAAGGCTCATCGTTTTTCTTTCTCTTTTCTGCAGAAAAGAAAAAAGTAGGACTGTTTGAACAAATCACTAAAACTCACGGAACAATTATTGGCATTACATCAGGGATTGTCTTGGTCCTTCTCATTATTTCTATTTTAGTACAAGTGAAACAGCCTCGAAAAAAGGTCATGGCTTGCAAAACTGCTTTTAATAAAACTGGATTCCAAGAAGTGTTTGATCCTCCTCATTATGAACTGTTTTCACTGAGAGACAAGGAGATGTCTGCGGACCTGGCCGACCTGTCGGAGGAACTGGACAGCTATCAGAAGGCACGGTGCTCCTCCACGGCGTCGCGGTGCATCCACGACCATCACTGTGGATCGCAGGCACCCAGCATCAAACAAAGCAGGACCAACCTCAGTTCCATGGAACTTCCCTTCCGAAATGATTTTGCACAACCACAGCCAATGAAAACATTTAATAGCACCTTCAAAAAGAGTAGCTACACTTTCAAGCAGGCACACGAGTGCCCTGAACAGGCCCTAGAAGACAGAGTAATGGAAGAGATTCCCTGTGAAATTTATGTCAGAGGGCGGGAAGATTCTGCACAAGCATCCATATCCATCGATTTTTAATCTTCTACTGAAGGTGACATTAATTATTAAGTATGTACGTATGTAGCCTACAGAGCACCCATACTGTTTTCAGCAGCCAACACTTTTCTCCTGTCAGAGCCAGGAAGATCTTCATTTCCCATTAACCTAATGTAATGGTGAAGTGTTTATTATCTCGGGCAGTCTATATATGTTAACCCAACCTGGGAACTTATTCCATTCAGTAAAAAACAGAAAATAAGCCTCTATTGCTCAGTGTCCTACAAATAAAGCACCAGTTACATAGTAGCATTTGGAGAGATGAGGGGTGGTGTTGCGCCAGGCTCAGCTGCCTGCAGGTCTTAGCAGCAGGAAGACTGCTCCTGATTGATACATCTCTGTCAATGTTTTGATCCCACAATAAGTTTAAAAGTAAGATTTTTCTTCACATTCCTTTTATTTTTTTCTTTTCTCTAAATTTAATTTGTTTTATAAGCCAGTAATTTTACCCTTTCAGTTTCTTATATAAGTGGTTCATGTATCACATGTATTTCAATATAGGCATTTGTTCTAGAATTTGTCAAAATATAACTAGTTACTGTGATAAGTGCCAATTAAGACACAGCGTTGTGTTTTGTCCATCTGTTTCTTCTTGACTAGTTTCTATACTGCTGCCTTTTAATTATGGGATCCTTAGTCTTTATTTTCTGTGATATGATTTAGCACCTTTAAGTCATATTTTGTCTTAGTTATACGAAAAAGTTTCATAATCCTGGGATGTATGCACCATTGCCAGTTATACCTAAAAACTTGACAAAGATTAAAATTTTTAGAAATGCTTTGAAATTTCCCAAGTTTTATCACATTCAGTGATAGCCCATTCATTCCTGTGAGCAAAAAGTCATTTAATGCATTTTGGAGGAGGCCTATCATTATATTTATTTCCAGTGTTTCTCATTACTAGATCTGTGTTTTGTATTATTTTTATAAAAAGATTATTTCACTCCCTTTGTATTGGTTTATCTTGTAGGATATGGTAACCAAGGTTGTTTGAGAGTTAAAGGAAAATGTCTAAGAAACTGTATAAGCCTTTAGATTGCTTCTTACTTGGGACAGTATGTTTTTCTAGTTCTTACCAAGAATAACAATTTCCACTTTTTTTTAAACTGCACTTTTGACCTTATTTTTTTTTAATGGTATATAAACAATAATTTATAAACATGATATAAAAACTCATTGTGTTTTTTTAGACTTTTGATATTATTTGATACTGTACAAACTTTATTAAATCAAGATTAAAGAGCTACATGACAGATTTCTTTCAGTGTTTGCATTAGTGACTTTGTATACAAATATGCTGTGATGGAACTGTACACTATAATTTATTGTAAAGACCTTGGTAATGTGTACATAAGCGTTTGTTTCCTCTTGTTATTGCATTTAGTTTATGATAAATTTTTCACTGTGTGATATTTATTGTTCTAAATCACTACACAAATCTGATATTAAAATATACATTGTTACATGATTCTTCAATCATGTTATTCATGGCACTGAGATTTTTGATCTTAAGATATATATAGAAAGGAATCCATTTATTGAATTATAACTAAAAGATAAATTCTCATTTCTGATATTTTTTGTAGTTAAATTCTCAATGAAATGAGAAATTAAAGTTTCACTGGATTTCACTGATTTTTTTAAAGTATCACATCTGTATGTTCTCTCAGATTAATGAAAACTGTGACCTTAAACACGATACATGTATAACACTCCTTCAAAATGCTTATTATATCACATTTTTTATTTTTAAAAAAGTATATACTATCCAGAAGATAGGAAAGCCTACAAATAGTATTGTCTTGATTTAAGTTTTTTTTAAGTCAGCATAATTTCCTGTTTTAAAAATATAACTTGGGAAGGTAAAAAAACTTAACAAATGTAGTATTCAATGAACTAATGAACCAGAGCCAGATTAGGTAGCTAAATTCTTTCAGTAGCTGAAAAGGCATTTTAGTAGGTAACACACCAGACAGTATTTAGTAAATCCTTAATAAAATAATAACTGTGATCTCATTCTTAATGAAAGGAAAATTATATTTTCTATGTAAAATTATATACATTTTAAAAAAACTATTAAATCGTCTTTAACATCTATAGTAGAAAATAATACAATATGCTTAACTAGTCACTTGTAACTGTATTTTTTTTTTTTTTTTTTTTTTTTGGGGGTACGCGGGCCTCTCTTGTGGCCTCTCTCGCTGCGGAGCACAGGCTCCAGATGCGCAGGCCCAGCGGCCACGGCTCACGGGCCCAGCCGCTCCGCGGCATGCGGGATCCTTCCGTACCGGGGCAAGAACTCGCGTCCCCTGCATCAGCAGGCGGACCCTCAACCACTGTGCCACCAAGGAAGCCCCTGTATTTTTATTTTTGAAATTTGTATCTTGCTGTCTCTTAAAAGGGTATGAAGAGGCCTACAAAATACAAAGCCTTTAAAGAAGACGTTTAACATTAAAAAAGTACAGAAGTACATGATTTCAGGCAACTCAGCAAAGCTTGGACAACAAATCTGATTCTAAATTTTCTTGCTGCTAAAACAAATGAAATCTTTGTTTTTCATGGTAGAAAACTCAAACTTATCTGCAAGAGGCTAGTTTTCTCTTAAACTAAAGAAAGGAGGGTCTTCATATTGAACTACATTTCCTCATAATTTAAAGAAAGTGCAAAATAGAGAGAGAGGCCATAATGGTAAATCTTAACCCAGTGAAGACACATCTCAGTGTGGTCTAGGAACTAAAGAACCAGACGATCAATAGCTAAGCTAGCCTGAGACTGGCTTATTATTTTATTTTATTTTGAATTTTATTTTATTTTTTTATACAGCAGGTTCTTATCAGTTATCTACTTTATGCACATCAGTGTATACATGTCAATCCCAATCTCCCAGTTCATCACACCACCACCACAACCCCCTCCACTTTCCCCCTTTGGTGTCCATATGTTAGTTCTCTACATCTGTGAAACTGGCTTATTATTATTCATTGAACTATAGGTGGGTATTAGATCTCATTTATTTCTTAAACATTTGGCAGTATATGCTATGAAGAGAAGAGAATGAAACTAATAAATTTTAGGTATTATTTCCAGAATAATGCTAATTGCTGTATATATAGTCTTTCACCTTTGAGGTAATGAGAAAACTTTGCAAATTGTTTACTAATGTGAAAGCCATAAATTTTAGTAATTTAAGAAGAAATTTAGCCATCTTGTGGAAGTTATTACACCCTTCACAGAGAATATAATACCCAGTGTTAAACATAGAACAAAAAAGGCAAATCTGGAGGAGAGAATATCTTCAATTCAGAAGCAGCATTAGGTGCACTTGTACAGCACTGTCATTTGTGACACCATTGATCCCAAATTTAACACAAGGTATTAATCCCCAAGTGCCCTCAAATTTCAGGAAGCCTACTAATCCCAACATCTGAAGTATGTAGGAATAAAGTATGATGTACCTTTTGTGAGGGGAGATGTTCACCCCAAACGTTTAACAAAAAGCAAAGGATTTTCCACATTTCAAATCACAAAAGAGATCAAAAACACTCCTTTTATTTTGAATTGTTAATAGCTTGTGTCAGTGTCTTTGTCACTTTTCATATGATTATTAGGCATTAAAAGAACCTCCTAAATGCCTGAACATTTTTATAGTTCTGCTATTGTCTGGTGAGGACGCTTCCTTGTTTCAGGAGTGTGTCAACTGATGAACAGGATAGGAAAAGCCTAGTTGTGACTACAGGAATAATTCTCAATCAGAGAAGAGTATGCTCTCTTACAAAATGGTGTCTGCTCTATTGTTCATGATCAGAAGGAACCATGAGATTTTGTTTTTTTTGAAGATCCAAGAAAGAATATCTGCTCCAACTTTATTAATGAGAAGACTGAAGCACAGAGAAGAGAAAGCAGTGCCCACATCTCAGAGCTAGTCCATCACCCTTTCCTTGCTTTCTGCTCTCTCCCTGCTTTAGCTGGCTATATGTTTTAAAAGCCACTCTAAACAGCAGCCCAGATGTTTCATGTAAGGCTGTCAATTACTCTGATTTAAAATGTAATTTATTCTACAACAATTTCCTTCAAAGCATTATATTTTACTTTTTTTTTTCCTTATGTAACACTTTGTTATTCTACAATTTTGTTGCCATCATTTCTTGGCACCTGCAAATTCTACAAGACAATTACTGTGAATTCTTAATAAACAATGTTTGTTAACAATTTATATCCTTGACACTGGACAGAAAGAGCTTTCAGTGTTTTGCTTTTGTGATCTTTTTTAAACCTAAAGGAAAAAACATACTCTAGAAATTAAAGCACGTGTGTGCTGTATCTCTTGAGTTTGGAGAATGATTTGAGTTGTGAACTAAATAATATGACAAGTTGACCTCGGATATCTTTTTTTTAGCTTTCTGCAAAATCAGTTGTCCATGTTTTATATACCTCTACTAATAACAAACTCATAATTCTGAATTTGCTTTTTTTAAAGCAACTTTTCCATATATTTCTGTGATTGGTTTAATGACTACAAAAGCCCAGGAAGCTAATGACTGGGGTGCATGTTTAGTATGTACTGTCTTGAGTATATTCTTCTGAAGCAATGATTTTTCTTTTAGAGGTGAACCTCCAGACCATATAAGACTTCTCATATGCTTAATACTCGATTTGATACATCACAGTAAAGAATTTTACCCTTGAACTGGGAATAAAACTTGTGTTTTGATTTCCTCCCTTGCCTCAATTTCCAAAGTCTCTAGAAGTCGCAAAGAATCCTAAATTCTTTCACAGGCAAAGTTGGCATTTCCTATCTGGTCACTTCCAAACTAAAATAATCATAGTTACGACAAAAAATAAAAGCTTCCTCAGGCTATTATTCAAATAAATCTTCAAGTGAGGAACTTAAAAAAAAAAAAAAAGAACAAGATGGTCTTAGGTTGCCCGCAGGATCCAGGCTACTGCCTCTGGTCACTGAAGTGGCCCTGAGATCTTCCACAGAGTGGGCTGTCAGAACACGTTGTCCTT